TGAGGTAGGAGAATCACTTGAATCAGGCGGGGGAGGGGGGTGGAAGGGGGCCGGGGGTGGGGCAAAGGTTGCGGTGTTGCGGTGAGCTGAGATCACGCCACTGCACTCCAGCCTGGGTGACACAGCAAGACTCTGTCTCAAAAAAATGAAAAAGAAAACAGGGTGGTTCATTGTTTCTTTGGGAAAACATTAGAAAAGGAAAAGGTTTATTTGTTACTTCAAAGGACTAAACAAAATTATTGAAATAATGAGTATATTATTTCATTGCAAAAATAGGGGATATTTCTTATCTCTTACTGTATAACAAATTTGCCTTGAAATGTAGTGGCTTAAAACAACATTTATTATCTCACCAATGTGTTGGTTAGAAATCCAGGCATGGCTTAGCTGGGACCTCTGGCCCTGGATCTGTCACAAGGCTATAGACATCTCAAACCTCAACTAGGAAGGATCTGCTTCCTAGCTCACTCACATGGTTGTTGATGAGATTCAGTACCTCGTGGGCTATTGGACTGAGGCTTCCTTCAGTTCCTTTGCCACAAGCACCTCTTCTTAGAGCATCCCACAGTATATCGGCCTGCCTCATCAGAGTGAGCAAACGGGAGAGCAAGAGAGAGTGCTAGTAAGACAGAAGTCACGGCCTTTTACAAACCAATCACAGTAGTGCATCCCATCACATTTGCCAAATTCTATTCATTAGAAGCAAGTCACCAAGCCCAGCCCACACTCACGTGGAGGCATGAATACCAGGAAGGCAACAATCAATGGGAGTCATTTCAGAAGCTGTCTATCACATGTAGTTTATTATTTTAAGAGAAAGCGACTAGAAGGGAACTCATCATTTTTGGGCATCTGCTATAGGCTGGGTCCTGGAGCTATGGAAGCACTTTAAAATATATTAAATAAGGCCAGGTGCAGTGGCTCACACTTGTAATCCTAGCACTTTGGGAGGTCAAGGTGGGCAGGTCACAAAGTCAGGAGTTTGAGACCAGCCTGGCCAACATGGTGAAACCCTGTTTCTACTAAAAATACAAAATTAGCTGGGTGTGGTGGTGGGCACCCGTAATCCCAGCTACTCGGAAGGCTAAGGCAGGAGATCGCTTGAACCCAGGAGGCAGGGAGGTTGCAGTGAGGCAAGACCATGCCATTGCACTCCAGCCTAGGCAACAGAGCGAGACCCCGTCTCAAATAAATAAATAAATAAAATATATTAAATGCTGTATAAAGTGTTTCATAAATTTGGAATAACTAGATGAATGGTGGTTGATGGTTTTTATTATCACTCATTTCACAGGTATTTATTAAACATCTGTTTGTGCCAGGCTTTGTGCTAGCAGCAGGGATACCACAGTAAATAAAATAGCAATGCTTCTTCCCAGGTGGAGAAACACATGTCCGTGTCATACAAATAAGTTTAAATCCTCAAACTGTGATGAGTAGTTTCAAGGAAAAGCATAATTAGATGGCTAGATTTAGACTAGAGAATCCAGGGAAAGTGCCTCATAGGAATTAGCTTTCAGCTAAGACTTGAAGAGTGAGAAATAATTATCCAGGCAAAGAGGGTAGAAAGAATATTCTTAGAAGAAGGAACATCATATGTGAAGACTATTTTGTTAAAGAGCTAAATTTAATGTGCATTTCTAATACAGAGCCCAGAGCAGAGGAGCAAAACTCTGAGAATGATGTGGGCAGGATGAAAAGACGGAAAGTGCAGCACCAAAGGTAAGTAGGTCAGCATGAAAGGCCCAAATCACCTCCCAAAGTTGATTGCCGTTTTGCAGCTGTCCTTCCCCCCACTCTTGTTTCATGAAGGTCAGAGAGTATCCTTGTGTCTGGGTTTGACCTCTGGGTCCAAACCTAAGGGCAGTGAATAAAAGATATCCTTGTCCACATGGTGTCGGGTTTGGAACTAGACAAAGAGATAGTCATGTAGTGAACCAGAATCTGAAGATGAATATGCTCTATTTCATGGGCTTCATCAAAATCTAAATCTTTTCTGCTTCAAAGGATACTATCAAGAAAGTTAAAGACAACCCATAGAATATGGAAGAAAGTATTTGCATATCATATATTCAGTAAGGCTCTTGTATCTAAAATATATAAAGAACCTTTACAAGTCAACAATAGAAAGATATCCTCATTTTTAGAATAGACAAAGAATCTGAATTTTCTCTAAA